GCATTATTATCATATATATCACGAAAAAGGACAAATTCGTAGAATTTGTGAGAGATTGAAAAGATTTTTGTGCAACATAAGTATTTTAAATGGAATGAAATTATTATAGATGTTCTGAGACCGTGTATAGAATGAACGACAATTTCGATCTTCAAAAGATAAGACACTAGAAGGCTTCATGGGATATAAGAGATGTTTCCAACATTGCTTTTCTAATTAGAAAATGGACTACAATTAACTTCGAACATTAATCTAATTTACTTAATAACACAGAAAGGCAGCCATCTGTAACAAAGGAGTCAGTAGTATGTACAAAATCTAAAGTGGAGCGCAGCCTCTTCTGCTCATTAGACTTTTATGGAGTGCGTTTGAACCCTTAATAGTTTTTAATTAGGAAAACATTGTCATATCAATAAAGATGTCATGAAATTTGTCTAGGAAACGATGTTTGGCAGCCACAAACCTTTTTTCTTTGGAAATAAAAAAGTTTCCCAAACCTGACTTCAGATTTATTAAAAAAAATAATAATCAAAGGATTAAAGTAGAACAAATAATATTATATTTTACATATTTTTTTGGTTTTGCGAATAGGGAATTTATAGAATGGAGAAGCAAATCTTGAACTGTTGTACCTAAATTACTGAATTGCCAATATTTTAAGATTTATTTTAAGTTATTAGGAGATCAAAAACATCAACTACGAAAATTAAATATAGTTAAAATATCGTCAAGTTGTCCTGTGTTGATTAATTCCTAGAGTAAAAGCAGGGTTAAATGAATTTGCTATTTTGTGGTTTTACTATTCTAGAATTAGAATAGCAACATAACTGGTACATAAGTTTGAATTTAATTTTCTAAAATGTAATAGAATCGATTGTTGTAAAGCAATATTTTTTAAATCTAACTAGTTCTGCGCATTTAATTGCAACTTGTTTTAGTTACCTGAAAATTATTTAAGTAGAATATAATTTATTTGATACATTCATGTTTATTATCATGTATTTGAAAATTAAGGGCATACGTTTTACTATACATACATATATCAAAACATATTTATTGATTATTTTGAAAACGGAACAAAACGAAATTTACCATCAATACAGGGTGATTCAGGTTTAATCGGGATAACTTCAGAAATCGATAGAACAGGTTAAAATAATGTTCATTCATTATATAAACTTTTTTCCTAAATCGCATCGTTTCGGAGATAAAGAGAAACGTCAGTTTATACAAATTATTGTGAGTTTTGTTTTTCATGGGTTGCTATAACGTTAAATGAAATTTAGGCGGCTGGGGTGCTACACTGTCACAGATTTCATTGAATAACTCAGAAACAAGGCCAAATATCGAAAAAAAAAACAAGTGACGAAAAAGTTTCAAAATTAATGAGACAAGAGTAGTGTGCATCTGTTTTATTGAAATTAAATAATTTTTTTGAAGTTTTGAAATAATGTAGGACGGGGTAGCACACAAAATACACTTCTAAGAGGGGTAGGCGGTTCAAGCTTATGTAAAATCATAAGGAGTGTTTGTGTTCCTAATTTTACCTCAATCGGATGAGTAGTTCAAAAGTTATGAGGGAAAAACGGAAAAAAATCTATTTCAACGCCCTCTATCTCCGAAACGATGGGATTTAGGAAAAAAGTTTATATCATGAATGAACATTATTTTAACCTGTTCTATCGATTCATGAAGATATCCAGATTAAACCTGAATCACCCTGTATAATAAAATTGTTCGAGGACATAAATAATTAAAATATGTTGTTGGCCAAATGAACATATAATAGAAATTTTCTGCACATTATATACAAATTATTATAATGTTTTACCTTTATCAGAAAACTTTTTAGGGAAGCCTTTGAAACTCATAAAATTTTGTTGCCACCCGTTTTTTTACATGTTCAACTGACTTTGGAAAGACTATACCTGTAAATGAGTCGACGTATTCTATTCATGGTTCTCATTGCATATTTTGGGTATTCAGAAATTCATTCAACTTTTACAAAAAAGTGTATTTAGTTTGTAAATCTCAGTGTGAATGACCTTTGACATAATTCTAGTTTAGCTGAACTGTACTACTGTCTACGGAAAGTAGAACGCATGTAGGAAAGTTAGCATAGGTAATATTAAAAAGTTAAACAATTCTAAACTAAATTCGGTATGTTTCGATTCTTTTAGTATTTAAATTATCCCAAAACAAATAAAACAGCAACAAAATTAAACCGTGAACAGCTTATATTTAAACGGAGTGCAATTCTGTTCGTATAGTTACGAAGGGCTACGGAGGTTCAGTTAGAAATCTGCTACTGCAGTTGACTTCTCATCTGGTATGACGTGATGGGTAAAAAACTAACTGCCACATTAATGCGGCAGTGATCATGCTAAATGGATAAAATATGAAATCTAGAAACAACTGCATACTCCAGCGTGAAACACTTACATTCTAAATAAGCAAGGAACAAGCAGCGGTGCAGTGGGTTATTTTTAAATTTAATATTGTATAAGGGCGCCCGAGAGCCCGAGAATACCGACGAAGATATCCAAATACACATCAAACCTGTCCACACAGTCTTTAGTGCATCATTCCGCAGACTTCGAGAAGAAGGTCACCCCGTTTCAAAAAAGGCCATTCGTCCTAGTGAAGTGAATGTACAAAATGAAGAAGATATAATAGATGACAACTCTTCAATTAGTGTTTGATTTCATTGATGACGCATGACGTAGGGCTTAATATTGTTCAAAATATGTGGTATCAGCGCAATGGTGCACCACCACATAGAGGGAGACAAGTAACTGCTTGGTTAAATGATAATTTCCCGAATAAATGGATAGGTCAATAAGGTCAATAAGCATGTCCTCTGCGTTCCCGAGACCTAAATCCTTTAGACTTTTATTTATGGGGATATATGAAGCAACCATGTTTACCATGTTGAAATCACTACCCATCAGCAGTTACTTGAAAGGATGCGCTAACCAGATAAGAAATAATCCAAATCTCATCCGTCAAGTGACGGAATCTTTAGTTCGCCGATGTGAGGCTTGCATTCAAGCCGAGGGTGGACATCCTCAACAATTTTTATAGTCTCCAGATTTGTTAATTTGGTTAATAAAGGTTAACTAATGTTTAAACACAAATAATAATTATTGTTATAGCAACCATCATTTTTATTTTTCAGGCTACTTTGAGTTATCAAATTATGTGTTTTAAAATGCTTGCAGCATCTAAATAAAAACGAATCAGGCCTATGTTCATATAAGAAAAAATGTTTGAAATTAACAGAGTTAATTAATCTATCAAAGTTTGCCATAGAGCTTGTAGAACACCCTGTATAGTCCAGCGCATGTGCACGGAATACTGTATACATTGGGGTTTTGGAAAAGGCTGTTTCTGTCTATAAATGTTATTAATGTGTTTTCTTATGAAGCGGCTATTGATACTAAATACCTAGTATTGTACCATATCGGTTGTTGCCAACCTTTCTCCTTTTCCTTATTCTTAAATATCATTTTTATGACTTCTATAATACTTATTTCTGTTAGTATATCCATTTTTATTTGTAGTAGCTGATGTCTTCCTCATATAGGAGTTCTGGTTCACAGAAGATTTGTGCTCAATGCACAATGTGTTGACTACATTGTTAAAACCTATCCCTACCGGCTGGACCTCAATGAACACTTGTGTCTAGATACTATCTAGACTTTTTGTAAACAATGACGTTACGTCAAAATTCACTAAGATGTCGCCTGGATCTAGTGAGATTCTCTCAACCGCATTAATAAAATCTTTAGTGTTTTTGAAATGTTGCTCTGTCTTTCCCATCAGGATTTTAACTTTGTTAGACACCTTCCACTATTGAGCAGAGCAGTAAGTTTGTTTTGTGGACCTGTGAAAGGTAATAAATTTGAGGTATTCTCGAGTCCCTCTAGAAATGTGCATAGGTTGCTTACATACACAATAAATTTTTCATACCTTGAATTTACGAAGACTGTCTAAAAAATAATTCAGCGTTGATTGTAATAATGTAGAGGAAACATTGTAATAAAACTGTTCTTCTCTTTAAAATTCATACAATAGTTCTTAGGAGAAATATTTATTATTTAGACGGTCATTGAAAGAAGTTGATGACTGTTTCTTCAGACTTTTCCTTTTTCTGATTTTTTTATGAATACACTTACATACTAAAATATTAATGTATCCACTGGAAACAGTTGAAGATTTTTCCTTTTAATTTTATTTAAATGAGACATGGATCAGTTCGAAATGTTATCTGTGGATCACTGTATTTTAATACTAATAATGTATTTCTTTACTTTTTTCTATAAAATCGAAAGCATCATAGCACATTTGATGTAGAACTATTAAATGTGAAGTACTTTTAACAGATCAAAATATTGGAAATATCATTAAATGGTTAATTTGTTCCATACTCATGATATATTTTGAATAAACTTACCGGGTGAATTAGTTATCTTTATCACTGTTGAGTAGGTATTGATCTTTTTGTGAACACATAAACGTATTTTGGGTTGCGGTTATAGAGAACCACAATTTGAATTTTAAAATGTGGGGAACACTACTTATGTGATATTAATTTGTAATTTAAAAATTGGTGAATGACATGCTCTAATACCCCACAAAATTTTGGAAAAATAATAATTTTATAAAATTTTGTAGGATTTAATGGTTTCGATTGTATTATTGTAGTAATGTAGCATATAATAATGTCATAAGAGCATATAAGAAGCTATTAAGAAAACTGTGAAGAAATATTATGCTTACAGAGACACAGTTATAATTATATTTTGTTTTTTCATGTGACACCGTTTGTGCTAGCATTCCTTTGTTGGTAATGTAATCATTGTTGCAGAGTTATTTATATCTAGTTCTAAAACTGATTTTTATTCTTCATGACTTTTATAGTCTTTTAATTTCCCATTGACCCCTATATTTTTCAAGTACAGAGGTTAATTTAGATTGGAATTTAATGAAAAGCACCATTTGTTAAATATTAACATTTATTTAAAATTTGTGGAATAGCAATAAAATAAATTTCATCTAACAACAGTCTATGTTGCCTAAGGCCCCATTCACATGTTTCAGTAGGGTTTGTGCCAATCCGCAGCTGCCATGTACATCGTCTCCATCTATTGCCCATATCATGACGCCTCCAAAATTGTTTGCTTTAATGTAATCAGTCTGAAAAAGATAATAAAATATTTTTTAAAGTTTGGATCCAAATTTTAATTTATTTGAAGGCTGTTATTATTACATTTTTTAGGATTCTATATTTAAAAAAGAATGATGTTTGTGTAATGTTACAGAGTTTTGGACTTGTTCCTACGCTATGGTTAGTTATTGCGCTAATATATAAATTAATATTTTCGTTTACAAAATAAATTCGTATACATAGAATTCACATGCTAACAACATATTACGATTACAGATGTCTCTGTATGTACTATATTAAATTATTTTATATAAACATACAGGGTGTTT